TGTTAAATAGGACATTTTAAGGGAATTTAGAAAGTCTTTTAACTGAATGAAAATAAGAGTATAAGGTATCAAATTTTATGGAATGCTGCTAAAGCAGTTCTTAGAGGGAAATTTATAACATTAAATTTTTATATTAGAAACTTCCACTTCTGGTCAAGATGAAGTTAAAAAGCAGGGACTATATATTTACCTTCCTGCATAACACACAAAAACAAAAAGACTGAACAGAATGTATGAAACGATGCCTCTCAAGACATTGTAAATCAAGATGAGCCCTGCAATTGTCCTAGAATAACCTCCTGAGAGAGTTCCCAGATTATGGAACAAGGACATGGGAAACTCAAGCAGAGTTTAGCAGATTCCCTGAGTTCAGGAAGTGGAGCTGACAGGAGAGAACAGGTGGTTGGAGTTTGCAAAGCAGAATATCAGAAATGAAAGAGCTGCACACAGAATTCCAGAGATGTGCAAAGGGTTCCCCTCATGTATTCAGCAGAGTACTAATAAGTGTATGTATGTGGGGAAACTGTCCAATCTGGGGAAAGGGATGACTGAATGGGCAGGGGAATAGAACTGATAATTTACATAGGGATGGGAATAGTACCTCTTCTAACCAACCAAATTGAAAATGCTCATAGTGATTCATGGGGCATTGGGTAGAGTGCTCTAAATGTCTTGCCTCAGTACTAAGGAATAAATATCACCAGACTGTCTAACAAATCTTAAAAACAAGACCCAGAAGGATCCAAATGTTTCCCAGTAACTTAATTAAATCTCAGAACAAAATTCAAGAGTACTTATAAAAACTATTCAGCACTCAACAAGGTAATAGTCACAATTTCTGTCACCTGATCAAATATATCATGCATTGGGAGAAAGCAAAGGGGAAAAAAGAGGGGGGGGGGGCAAACCAAGAAACAGACACTTAATCACAGAGAACACACTGATGGTTACCAGAGGGCAGGTGGTGGGGCAATAGGTGAAATAGGTGATGGGGATTAAGGAGTGCACTTGTCATGAAGAGCACCAGGTGATATATGGAAGTGTTGAAGAGCTATATCGTACACCTGAAGCTAATATTACACTGTATGTTAACTAACTGGAATTTAAATTAAAACTTTAAAAAAATCATACCACACACACACAACAAAGACTACAAAACATTACTGAGTGAAATAAAAGACTTAAATGGAGAGATTGGTTCATGGGTGAGAAGATTCTCTACAGTTAAGATGTCTATGCTTGAGAAATTCAGCACACATCATAACAATCCCAGTGGGCAGCCATTATTCATGTCATTGTTCTCATATATACAATAGAAATTGAGAAGCTGATTCTAAAAGTCATATGGAAATTCAAGATAGAACAAAAAAATTACAGATATCTAAAAATAAATGCCACTAAAAGTGTATAAGATCTTGGTTGAGATAAAAATAAAATATTATCAAAAATATTAATAAAGATGTGAATACATAGCTAGCTATATCATGTTCATGGATTAGAATACAGAATATTAAAAGCTTTTCAGTTCTTCTCAGATTTATCTATAGATTTGATGCAATTCTAATCAAAATTGCAATGTTACTTTGTGGAGCTCAATATACTGATTCTAAAATATATATGAAAGAGTAAAGAGCTGAGGGTTGGAAGGGGATGGAGTAGCAAAGTATTCTATCATGTATCAAACTTTATTATAAAGCTATAGTAATTAAGACATAAAATATTTACAGGAGCTTTTTTCATTTAGTTCTATATCTCACCAACTTTTGGTGTGTTCAATTTTACTATCTGAACTCTTTTAGAGGGTATGCACTAGCTTTCTTATGTTTCATGCTTATATGGTGTATGGTTGTATTTGATCCTTTTACTATCAACCTATCTGTGGCTTTATATTTCTTATAAACTGCAGTCTTGCTTCTTCTCCACTGTGACAACATGTGCCTTAAAGTTCTAATATTCAGTCCACTTAGATTTAACGTAACTATTGCTATAGTTGGAGTTAGGGCCATCTTGGTATTTGTTTTCTATCAACCGCACTTGTTCTTTTGTTTCTCTTTTCTTGTCTTCTGAGTGAATCATGTATTTTTCAGTATCTCTGTGTTTTCTACTGTGTTGATTCTTTTTTATTCAAAACTGTTTTTTATTGGTTGCACTTAGCTATACAATAATCATCTTTAATTTATCAGAGTAATTCCAAATATATACTTCACAAGTGTTAAGAAACTTATAACTATATGATTTCATTCATACCCCACCCACCCTTTGTACTCTTATCTCATATCTTACTCCTAAATATGCTATAAATCTCAATGCATTGTTAATATTTTTGCTTTAAAAAGTCAGTTGTCATATGGGGCACCTGGGTGGTGCAGTCAATTAAATGTTAGAATCTTGGTTTTGGTTCATAATGTCAGGGCCATGAGATCAAGCCCCAAGTCGGGCTCCCCACTCAACCTGGAGTCTGCTTGAGATTCTCTCTCCCTCTTCCCCTACCCCTCCTGCTTGTGCTCTCTCTCTCTCTCAAATAAATAAATAAATCTTTAAAAATGTCAATTGTCATAAAGATATATAGGTATATAAATATCAACTGATAACAAAATTTTATCAGTTGATATTTATACATATATATCTATACATATATATATGTATTTATATATATATATATATATCCTCCTGGGTATGCTTTATTTCTGTTTGCATATGCAGAGTTCTTCCTGAACTCATTTCCATTCAGCCTGAAGAATGTCTTTGAATTTTCTTGTATAATAAGTTTTCTCAGCATTTGTCTGTATAAAAGTGTCTTTATTTTTTCCCTTCATTTTCGAAGGATATTTTTCACTGAATACAGAATTATAGGATGACAGCTGGTTTTTGTTGTTTTTAAAACATATAAAAACATCATTCCATTATCTTATGGCCTCTTACCATTTTGGGTAAGAAGTCAGCCATTATTCATGCTGTTGTTCTCATATATACAATGTATCTTTTTATCTGTAGCTGCTTTCAGAATTTGCTCTTTCTCTTTGGTTTTCAGCACTTTTATTATGTGATTAGGTGTGATTTCCTTGTATGTATCCTGTTTGTGGTTCAAGGGAGCTTCTTGGATTTCTGGGATAATGTCATTCATTAATTTAGGGGTGTTCTTGGACATTGTCTCTTCAAATATTTCTTCTGCACCATTCTGTTTTTCCTTTCCTTCTAGGAGTTTAAAAACACATATATGATACTGTTTAATATTGTCCCACAGATCTCAATCTATTTATTCTTTTTTTACCCTACTTCTTTCTTTATATTTCAGTTTGTATATTAAACCATCTTCAAGTTATCTACTTGGCTTTTCCCACTTTACTCTTGAATCCATCGAATAATTTTTTTATTCCTGATATCATATTTTTTATATCTAGCAATTTCACTTCTTTTTTATTATTTACATATCTCAGCTGAAATTCCCCATCTCTGCCCTCATGTTGCCCATCTTTTCCACTAGGTCCTTCAGCATTTTTATGAGTTTTTTTCTCTTTAGTCATGCTTGGGTTCTTAGCACTGACAAGATTCCAGAGAACTCTTCATACTTTACAAATGGCCACCACCTTTCAAAACCCAGGAGAGCTGTCTCTGCTCTATAGCCTAGCCCACCAACTTTTTGATCACTGAGGGATTCCTTCCTCTCTCATCTTGCTCCAGATTTTCATGCTTTGGGAGATCTCTCTATCTATCTCTCTTGCTTCCCTGTCCCACATATGTAAAGGCCAACCATGTGTCGGGGGGAGAGTTTCCCTCAGCCAGCTTACCCACTCCCAGCCTATGGTAGCTGAGAATCCAGAATGCAGATGGATTTCTCTCAACTTTGCTGCCTTGATGCCTGCCCCCTCCTTGTCTTCAGAGGATTACTGCTTTATATTTGGGAGAGGCCTGAATGCCTCAGGGGGATCTATCAGCTCCCCTGCCTTGTCCCAAAACCTTTTGGCTTCACTTCACTAAGTGAAGATCTATGGGAAAGTTTGTGGTGGGTAAAAACTCATTCCTTGGAATCCCCATCTGTAATATTTATGATGGATTCCCATCCCTCTGCCAAGAATAAAAATAATTATGGGTCTTTTCTATGAAGGGCTCATCATTTTGTTACTAATATATTTCAAGGATCATCTCACACTCATTTAAAGCAACATAAGCTCTAGACTTTAAATTGAATCTTCATTTGATAAAATGGCTTTTTACTGAAATGACTCTTTACCAAATAGTCTGTTTCTTTGGTTACCAGTTTGATATCTGTCTACATCCTGTTTGAGTATATCCATTACTAAATATGTGTACATTACATAAACTTAGGGAGGAAAGATGTGCCCAAGAGACTCCTTTTGGTCATCATGAACATAGAAGTTACATATTCGGTAAAAATCTCTAAGAATTAGAGACAGTTGGGAAGGAGAGATAGGGAAGAAGGGGGACCTTGGAACTCTAAATGAAATTAGGCCCACTGAATTTCAGACATAGCAGTCTCTCAGTGGCCTTCCTCTCTAACAGCCTGTGTTCATAAAAGGGTGGTATTGATTTGTCTAAGGTTTTCAGTTCTGTCTTCTCTTTATCTCATATCCAAGGAAACTATAATTCCAAAAATAACTTAATGTTTAAAGTGTCTTTATATCTTGATAGTAATGAACATGGAAGGGGCTTGTGGCCAGAGCGGATAAATACATAAGAAAAGAGAAGGCTGATATTCTCTGAGGGTCAATTTAAAAGGGAATTAAGATGAATTATTTCTACAGATAGAAACAATATATCAAAGAATAAAATTACTGAAATAATTTATATTTATGAATACATATATTTCTATGTAATACATTTCAATGTCTAGAGTATTATTCAGAAATACACTAAAAGTTAGTAGTTAAAGTTAAAATGTAGTAGTTACTACATTTTAAATATAGCAAATTAGAAGACCAGAATTGTTAGGAATGTCCCTAAAACCAAAGATCTTCTAATTATTTTCTATTTTGTTATAGGCTAAAAGAAGAAGTAGCATGGCAATCTGGACAGAAAATGAAGTTTATCTCGGATATACTTTTCTTAAATTTGTCAAAATAATAACTACTGAAAAACTGAAAAATCTTCTAAATATATCATCAGCTGCTACACTGACTATACACAATGTCGAGTATCCAGGACACCCTTTGGAACTTGCCTTATTATTAAATTACTGCACTGCATGTAACATCAACAAAACAATTTATGTGGTAATATACAATGAAGATACAGAACAGTGGGTGTACCAAGACTTTGCATTAGATGTCTCTACGGACAGTTTTTTAACCCCACATTTTATATACGCAGCACTGCCAGATTTAATACTGCGGGACAAACATCGGATCTACTATTGTTATCACAATTTCACCGAGACTGGAGTTTTACAAACACCTACAGAATTTGGAAATCTATCAAGATTATCACATAACAGCATTATTCATGATATTTTCATAGGTGAGACATTCTCATTCTGCAAAAATTATTCTAATTTTTATAGTAGACATCTTCCTTATGAAGATGTAACAATTATAAATACACTCATATATGATACTTTTGGTAAGTAAAAGTGCACTTTTTACCACCTAAAAATGGATATCTTTTTAAGTTCTACTAAGGTTATCTTACATAGCGAAATGGCAAACTCAAAATAGATTCATTTTGGTCATTCAGCAGATACTAACTAAACAACCTACGCATGCATTTTCAGCATAGGAGGTGATATGGTGTTGTCTTCATTTCCTAGGGCTCCCTAGGGCTACCACAAACTGGGTAGCTTAAAACAATAGAAATTTATTGTCTCAGTTTTAGAGAGTAGAAGTCCCCATTCAAGGTGTCAGCAATGCCATGTTCCTTCCGAAACCCAAAGGGGGGCTCTCTCATTGCTTCTTCCTAGCTTCTGGTGGCTTGCTGGCAAACCTTGCCATTCCTTGGCTTGCAGCTGCATCATTCCAACCTCTGCCTTCATCACGACATAGCATTCTCCCTGTGTCCTCACATGCTATCTTGTTGCAAGGACACAGGACCCAACCTACTCCAGTGGGACCTCATCTTAACTAATTACCTCTGTAATGATCCTATTTCCAAATAAGGTCACATTCTGAAGTAATACTGGGAATTAGAATGTCAACATCGTTCCCAAAGGGACAAAATTCAACCTATAGCAGGTGTTGTAGAGTTAAATGGACCCATATTCCTATCCATGAGCAAGTCATTGAACATTTGCAAGTCTCATTTTCTAATCTAGAATATAGGGTGGTTGTGTTGATTGGATAAGGGATTGTAAGTAAAATGTTTAGAATAAAACTGGACATGTGGTAACAATAATTATTCTGAATCTTATTATTCCCAAGGTAGTATACTAAATAAACATTATAGGCAATGCAAAGAAATAGGAAGTTCAATCCTCAAAAAGTGTGTTTAGGAGATAGCCCTAACCATGGAATTTAAAGGAAATGTCTCTGTAATTCTTTCTTTCTTTTAAAAGATTTTATTTATTTGTTATTAATTAGAGAGAGAGTGTGAGCAGGGGGAGGAGCAGAGGGAGAGTGACAAGCAGACTCCACACTGAGCCCAGAGCCCGACTCGGGGCTCAATCCCACAACTCTGAGATCATGACCTGAGCTGAAATCAGATGAGTCAGATGAGCTGAGTCAGATGCTTATCCAACTGAGCCACCCAGGCACACCTTGTCTTTCTTGACTCCTATCACCTGGCAACTTCCAACCAGTTGATTTTTATGCTCCCCTTTACAACAAAACTCTTAAAAAATATCGCCTAGTTTCACTTCTTCATCTTTCCTCACTTTATCTTGAAGCCACTCTAATCAAATACTCCATGGGAAGTGCTCTTGTCAAGGTTCTTAACAACCTCCACTTTGCTAACCCAGTGGCCAATTTTCAGCCATCCTCCATGAGCTGGCCTTCAGCAGGGCCTGATTCCTTTTTTCTTCCCAAAGATTTTATTTATTTGACAGAGAGGGAGAGAGCACAAGCAGGGGGAGCAGCAGGCAGAGAAAGAGGGAGAAACAGGTTCCCCACTGAACAGGGAGCCTGATGTGGGGCTCAATCCCAGGACCCTGGGATCATGACCTGAGCCAAAGGCAGACACTTAACTGACTGAGCCACCCAGGTGCCCCTAGCAGGGCCTGATTCTTGAAATAACTTTTTGTCACCTGACTTCTGAGGTGTCACTTTTTTGCCCTTCCTGCTACTTCACTAGCTACTCCTCCTCAGCCTCTTTTCCTGATCCCTCATCTTCCTGATTCCCAAATGGAGAAGCACATCAGGGTCTAGTTTTCAGACATCTTCTGGAGCTCTGTTTCCATGCGCTGTGCCCTCCGGCCATAACTCCTAGCCTGACTCCAAGCTCCAATTCCCAACTGCCTCTGGGATACCTTCACTTGGATGACTAGTAGGCATCTCAGATTTAACATCCAAGAATGAATCCCTGAGTCTCACTCCTATCTCAACCTGCTCCTGCCTAGTCCTTTCCTATCAAGTAAATACCACCTCCTCCAGTCTTTCCAGCTACAAAAACCTTGACCTCATCCTCGAGTCCTTCCCTTTCACATCCCACAACTAATCCCTGGGCAGCTCCCCTTGGCTCTATCTAAAAAGTCTACCTAAAAGCCAACCCCCTTCCACCAGTCCCATTCCATTCCAAGCCAGTGTCCTCTCCAGCCTATACATGCAAGAACCTTTTACATGCTCTCCCTGCCTCCACCCTTCCAACCCATTAGAGTCCACCTAGCAGCTAACGTAAGCCTTTGAAAACATGCAAAATCACATTATTCCTCAGCTTAAAACCCTCATTCGGCTTTCTATATCACTTTGGATTTGGATAAAATCCAACACCCTTACTATGGCCCGAAAAGCAGTATGTGGTGTGACTCCAGACTCTGATGTCCTCTCCTGTCACTTAACCCTCTGTTCGCTGTTACCTCGTTGCAAACTGGGCTCTTTGCTGTTCCTTGGATAGCTACTGTTTCATATGCCAGATAATTCTTCACTTTGATGTCTGCATGACTCCTACATTTAATTCAGGTTTGAGTCCAAATGCCACCTGATCGGGGAGCTCTTCCCTGACCTTGCCCTAGTTCCCGTGCTCTGGCCCTTATACTTCATTTTGTTCACAGAGCTTCTCATTACCTAACAAACTACATGTGTGCTTATTCTAAATTAACTGAATCTTCCATGAAAAAACAAGCTCTGTGTGACTTTGTTATATTTGCTGCTTTGCCCACAGTGTCTAAAATAATATATAATAGGTCCTTTTTTGAATAAATGGATGAACAAATACTCATTGAACATGCACTATTGGTGAAGCGCTCTACTGGGAGGTGGAGATAGCATAGAAATTGGACACAATTCTCACCCTTTCTTCTTCTTTTTTTTTTTTTTAAGATTGATTGATTGATTTGAGACAGAGAGTGTATTTGTATGAGGGCAGGGGGAAGGGCAGAAAGAATCTTAAGCAGACTCTATACTGAGCACAGAGCCCCACACAGGGCTCACAACCCTGAGATCACAACCCGAGCCAAAACCAAGATTCAGATGCTTAACCAACTGAGCCACCCAGAAAGCCCCAGAATTCCCACCCTTTCAGAGTTTACAAAATTGCAGAGGGTAAAGACAAACACGCAATAAAGCAACACGGCTAATGCTATGACAGAGCCAACCTCAGGGGCTAGAGAGGCACACAGATCGAGTACCTTACCCATTCTAGGGGAGAGGAAGGTACAGAAGGCTTCCTTGAAGAAGTGCTGTCTAAGCTGAGTCCTGCTGAATGGGTAGAGGTTAGTTAGGCAGTGAAGACAACAATGGGGATGGGGTGCCCAACAACCCAGACACAGAGAAAACAGGGTACAATCCAGGCCTTGAAAGACAATCCACTGCTGAAACAGAGTTCTCCAGAGAGAAGAAGGAGAAATCTCTCCTGGAGAAATCAAGTTCAGGTTATGAGAGTCCTCATAAGCCATGTGAAGAAATCAGACCTTCTCCTAAGGCCCATATAGGGTTTTAAAGAGTTTTGAGCAAAAGAGAAGCAGAATCATATTTGTGTTTTTAAAAGGCCACTGACCACAGTGATAAGGAGATAAAGTTAGAATAATCAACAGGGGATAAATTTTAGAGGGACCTAAAAGGCTGAATGTTTTACCAAGAGCCATTTGGAAATGCTGAGATAAAAAGTCTAAACTGTCCATAAGCATATGAAAGATGAATTTAAAAGCCTTCAGCCTGCAGCATTTCCATTTCTCAAATAACCCACTATTTAAAAGTTGCCGTGATGGTGCCTGGCTGGCTCAGCTGATGAAGCATGAGACTCTTGATCTTGGGTTCAAGATCAAGCATGAGTTCAAGCCCCACATTGGGTGTAGATGGGTGTCTTTAGTCAATTTTAGAAGTTTGTGTTTCCTTAGGAAATCACTCATTTTATCTGGATTTTCTAATAAACCTTATTGGCAAAGGTTTCCCATTTTAATTTTTAGACTGCTTATCATCTGTAATAGTATTCCCTTTCTCATTTATGATGTTGTCTGTACCCCACCCCTTATTACTTTGACTTGCAAAATATTGTTTCTTATTCTTATGGTTTTTTGGTTTTGTTTTCTTTTCCTTTGAAAGGAACTCTTGGCTTGTTTATCAAATCTTCTTTCTATATAATTCCTTAATTTCTGCTTTTGTCATTCTTGATTCTTCACTTGTGCTTTCTTTTTATAACTTTGGTATCTGTTGCCTGCTTCTTATGGTAAATGATTAGTTCATTTATTTTCAGTCTTGTTTTCTAGCACTTAAAACTACAAATAAACATAGGGCTATACATTTTTCTCACTGTGGCTTTAGCTGCATCCACAAACCTTTATATATAGTGTTTTTAATCTCATTTGCAAATAATTCCTAATTTTCATCTTAACTTCACATTTAATCCAAAGATCATTTTGTAATGTTTTAATGAGCGGGGTGCCTGGGTGGCTCTGTCGGTTAAGCATCCAACTCTTGATTTCAGCTCAGGTAATGATACCAGGCCTGGGATCCAGCCCCACATCAGGCTCTCTGCTCAATGGGAGTCTGCTTGTCTCCCTCTCTCTGTGCCCCTCACCTCCTTGTGCTCTCTCTCTCTAAAATAAATAAATAAATCCTTAAAAAAAAATAATGTTTTAAGGAGCAGCGTGACAGGCAGGAGAGTGACATCTAGTCCAGATTTATGAGATTAGGAAAGTCCGCATAGAGGAAATGCCTTCTCAACTGAGAACAGGAAGAGGGTACATATTAGAAAATTTAGATCAACAGTCAGGATGGGAGCTGAAGTAGCAAAGACCCAGAGGCGGGAGAGAACATGGCAAGTTTGCAGAACTGAAATTTGTTGTGAATGACTAGGTGGTATGTGAATCTGAAAGTGGCAACCGACAAGGCTGGCTGAAAAAGACAGGACCGCATCACCACATGACCTGGACATTATCTAAAATTCAAGAGCAATATATATTTTTTGTTTTGTGAGGTTTTGAGTTTTATGTATCATCACACTGTGTGTATCCTGCACCTACTTTTCTCACTCAACATCCAGATAGATTTTTTTAGGTCATCTGCCTGCATTTTTTTCCTTCCTCCTGGTGAAATTTCTAGAAACACACACACAAAGCACAGCAGACCAAGAGTTTGGTAAGCCTGGAGGGAGGAAAAACAAAACAAAATTAAATTTATAAAGTAAGTTATGTGAGAAAAATTACCTCGTCACTGTGCTGCCCAAAGTGCCTCAACATCCCGAGTTACCAACATGTTACTGCTGGTGTTTGATGCCCATGTGTGTTGCCTCAGCAGGAAGGGCATCTTGCCCTTGCAGTTATACTAAAACACTCCGAAAAATATTCCGAGCTGCATATTAACCTTACCGATCAACATAACAATTTCACCAGCATTATCATATGGTTGAATTCCTACTGACAACATTATCACTATATGAGAACTTAAGGTTATAAGGACATGTATGTGGACAGTGATGTCTCATTAAAGTATTCTGATCCTAACAACAATTGACATTGCTGATTTAGGAGTTTTACAGTAATTTGTGAAAATGCCACTTATTTATTCAAATTTCAAATGTAAGATGCATAAGCACAATACACTCTGAACCTTCCTCACTCTATGAATTGAACTTCCTCCTTTTAGTCAGTCCCCTTAAAGTGTTGTTGTTGTTTTTGTTGTTGTTTTAAATTAGGGAAAGTATATCCCTAGAACTTATCCACGGAGAATGTCATGTCTGGAAAAAAGCTATGAAATCAACTAGTCCAACTGTTCATTTTACAGATACAGCTACTTCCAAAGAATTTAAGAGACTTATTGTCTGTAAACCTCTGTGACTTAGACATAATACTCTGTTAAGGGAAGGAAGTTGGTTATTATTTATAGAGTGAACCTGAAGACATAACAACACACACACACACACACACACCCATTTCTTTATCCCAATTGTATTGCTCTGCTACAACTACCATAACAAGATGTCATGGGCTGCATGGCTTAAACAATAGAAATGTATGTTCTCACAGTTCCGCAGCCTAGAAGTCCAAGATCAAGGTGATACCAAGGTTGGTTTCTGGCGAGGACCCTCTTCCTAGCTTGGAGATACGGGCCACCTTCTTACTGTGTCCTCACATGGCCTTTCCCCTACCTGCATGCACAGAGAGATCTTATGTCTTCCTCCTCTTACAAGAATACCAGTCATATTGGACTAGGACCCTTATGACCTAGTTTAGCCTTCATTACCTCCCAAAAGACATTATCACCAAATACAGTCACAATGCAAGCTGGGGTTTCAACCTATCCATTTTTGTGGGGGGGGACACAATTCCATCCATAGCACAATGCTTCCTAATAATACTATTCCTGCATGTCTATGCTCATTATTATTTAGTGCACTAATTCCAGCTTTTTATGTAAGTGGTGTCATATATAAAGTGATGTCGTAAGTACAAGAAGAATCTATCCAGGAAAAGAATTGTTCTACTACAAAGTGGGAGAGAAGCTCTCCAGCATCACATAAAAGTTGCAGGTTTGTGTCTGCACACTCTAATTTTCTCAAAACAGATAAATCCTTCATTACTACAAAAGAAATTATTTTGGTTAAAAGTGCATGGATTTATGGTTACTTAGAATAACACAAGCTTTTCTCCTTCTTTTCCAGATTATTATGGAAATGTTGTGGTAAAAATGGAAAATAACATAATGTTTTATTTCAAGATCAATATTAGAGCTGCAATAAAACTACATTTATGGACAAATAGCACAATGAAGTCATTAATTTTATTGAGTTCATCTGCTCAAATATATCTCATATATGTTTTTGAAAATGGCACAGTACAGCCACGGGAATATCCTTTAAAACTGGAATCACAAAGTGTACATTTCACTACAAAAGAAAAATGCCCCTACATGGCATTTCATAATAATATTTTAAGTGTTTTTTACTTTTTGGACAAGGGACAGAACCTGTCCATTTGGGCTCAAATAGTCTATCCAGAAAATGTTGGTCTGTATATTGTTGTGGAATCATACGGCCCAAATATATTACAAGAGAAAGAACAGGTTCACTATGAAATCGCCCTAGGATACTGCACTAAAACCACGGTAAGTTAATATTTTAAAATCTATTCATTTGATTGCAATAAATGTAAAATTAAAATATTTACATTTTTTTATCCTGTCACGAAAAATATAGTATCTAACATCATTGGTGACATTCAATGAAGTTTTCTGATAACAAACATTTATCCTTAATTTTATGTCATCTTGACTCTTGTTGAAGTAATTTCTGTTAGCTGATTGTGGTAAAAAATGTTTAATTTGAAAAGAAATTGAAATTTTCTTCATCTGTTATAAATATATATATATATATACATATATTTATAAACATTTAAAACAGATTTTCCTTCTAGGTTTAGCTTAGAAAATGTTGAGAAATATACAAGTTTTTAATAAATAGTAATATGATAAGCCATTAGCTCCTGAGCCACAATTTTCACTTTCAATATCCAAGGCAAATATCTTTGCCGCCTAAAAGCACTTTCCTGCAGAACTCTTTGATGTCAATTGTATTATTTGCTTCCTTTTTTTTTTAAACACATGGCTTTGTGTAGACTTCTCTCTGCTATCTTTTGTACTATATAACACCACCCCAAAACCTGACAGCTTCAAACAGCACCCAGTTTTATTTGTCAACAATTTGGGTTGTGAGCAGCTGGGCGATAGTGCTGGTTTCATCTGTCTGCGTTCATTCATGAGGTGGTCATCTGGTAGCTTGTCTGGGACAAGGTGATCTAAGATGGCCTCAACCACATGTCAAGTGGTTGGTGCATGCACTGGCTTGTGTGAATAAGGGGCCTCAGCTGAGCACTTGTCTCTGATCCATGTGGCCTCTATCATCCAGGCCAGAGCTGGCTTTCTCCCAAGAGAGTCTCTGGGCAGTATTCTAACACAGTACGAGCAGATCCCAGAAGGCCTCTTGAGGCCTATGTTTGGCCACATTCTCTTTGTCAAAGCAATTCACAAGGACAGCCTAGGTTAACAGGATGGAGAAATAGAGCCTACCTCTTGACGGAAAAACAGCAAACTTACCCTATAAAGGGGGGTGCCTACAGGAATGGGAGGGATTACTGCAGCTAACTTTGCAGACAATCCAGCACAATTAGGTACAAATGTACTGTATATATTATTTTGTAGACTACTTTCCAATGAACATTATAGCATAACCATTTTACATCTACTACAATTCCTTCCCAAACACTGTATATTCTATTTCCCACCTTCTCTTTCTGGGCTCAGATTTCTTTAGCATATACTGTAGTGGGCATCTTAACAGATGCAATGGAATGAAATGTTCAGTTAATTCCAAAATCAGTTAAAACAGAGAATCATAAAAAATGAAACTGATATGAATGAAACATTGTACTTTAACTTAAATAAATGGATGTACATTCATTAATCAACCTTTTAAAATAGGCCCACAGACTTTTCTTTGAAATAAGTCAACTTACTGGAGCATCTCCTCTCCTTTCTTGCATAACCTTATTCATAATGCATTATCTCTGAGTTCCCACTTCTGTTTCTTTAAAGCGGGGTGTGCCTGGGTGGCTCAGCTGGTTAAGCCTCTGATCTCGGGGTCCTGGGATCAAGCCCTTTGTCGGGCTTCCTGCTCAGCGGGGAGTCTGCTTCTCCCTCTCCCTCTGCCTCTCCTCCCATTCTCGCTCATGTTCTCTTTCTCTCTCAAATAAATAAAATCTTTTAAAAATAGAGGAGGGAAAAAATTAATGACACTGGCAAAGCCATCAGAATTCTAGATTTTTTCATTTTGTCCAACTTCTTACTGTTATCTTGCTCATACCTAATTCAGCAATTTCTTCAGGGACTTGTTTTATTAAAACTTTCCAGAGCAATCCATTTTGTTCTCAGGGAAACAATAACTTTACTTTCCTTTTACGCTCAATTTCATCAGTCCATAATGTTTAATTCCACAACTACCATAATACCACAATCTGGCATAAACAGGTTTAGAAACACAGAGAGCTGATTTAGATTTGCATACAGACATATGGATAAATCTTAAAACAGTGTCGAGTGGAAAATAGTGTCAAGTAAGGAACTGAGATCCATCACAGAGTAACGTTTACAAAAATTGCAAACACCTACACGTAAATCACAAGGAACAAAAAGAAAAGCGTTACTCATTTTACACGGATACCAAGATCCCAAGGACAGATATCAGATCAAATATATCATATGTCATCAAATATGATGACATCATGCTTGTTTGATACATGTTATGGGGGCCTGCACATAGGGGGAAGAAGAAGAGGGGAAGGGAATGGGGGAAGAAGATACAGGGGAAAAGTAAAACATAATAAATAAAATAAGACTGGATTGATCATGTTTCAAGAAACAAGGTGTATATGTAACTCACTTTTCTGAAACTGAGGTACCCCCTTCCTTCCAGAACAAGAACAGAAAAGATTTACACTCTCCTTCAGCCCAGGAAAGTTTTCTTTGATTATCTAGCTGCAATATCTGCATAAGCTCTCATAAGTTTTCTTTCCAAGAATGGGCTGCATAATGTACATTTGCCCATTTGCAATTCAGAACTTCAAAATATAGTTACCAATCAAAATATACAAATGACCAAGGACAAAGAAACATTAAAATTTGCATGTTTTGATAAAATACTGTCTCTGTCATTTATCAGCTGATAACATTAAGCAAGTTTTTTAAAATTTGATTCCATAAAAATCTTACTTTATTAAGATTGCTTTTACATCTAATTTTTTATTAAGTTATTTTTTTTTAAGATTTTATTTATTTATTCATGAGAGAGAGAGAGAGGCAGAGGGAGAAGCAGGCTCCCAAGGAGCAGGGAGCCCGATGTGGGACTCAATCCCAGAACCCTGGGATCATGACCTGAGCCGAAGGCAGACACTTAACCATCTGAGCCACCCAGGCGCCCTTATTAAGTTATTTTAATTACAGTACAGTTAACATATAGTGTTGTGTTAGTTTCAGGTGTACCAATATAGTGATTCAACAATTCTATACATCACCCAGTGCTCAATATGACAAGTGCACTCCTTAATCCCCACCACCTGTTTCTCCCAGCCCCCAACCTCCTCCTCTTTGGTAACTATCAGTGTGTTCTCTAGAGTTAAGAGTCTGTTTTTTGGTTGTCTCTTTCTCTTTTTTTTCACTTTGCTCATTTGTTTTATTTCTTAAATTCCACACATGAGTGAAATCATATATTTGTCTTTCTCTGACTCATTTCATTTAGCATTATACTCTCTAGTTCCAAAAATGTCATTGCACATGGCAAGATTTCATTCTTTTTAATAGCTGGATAATATTCCATATATATGGTATATATTCCATATATACACCATTTTGTAAATAATGCTGCTATGAACATAGGGGTGCATGTATCACACCTGTCAGAATGGCCAGAATCAAAAACACAAGCAACAATAGGTGTTGGTGAGGATGTAGAGAAAGGGAACCCTCTTGCAATATTGGTAGGAATGCAAACTGGTGCAGCCACTGTAGAAAACCAGTATGGACTTTCCTCAAAAAGTTAAAAATGAAAATACCCTATGATCTAGTAATGACACTACTAATTACTCCCCAAAAACACAAAAACACTAATTCAAAGGAATTAGCAAGTTTTTTAATCTTTCTATGCCTTAATACTTTCCATCTAAGTAATGATAATAAAAACAATATATTATATGTAATATAATATCTAATTAATATGTAATTATGTTCACATGTTAATATAATATTTTTATATTAACTATATTTTTTATAATAATATAATAATTATTGTCATTTAATTCATAAGCTTCTTAGGATTAAATGAGTTTATATACATAAAGGACTTAGCGGTGCCTCTGGCATATAGCAAACAGTATGTTTACGTGTTACTACTACAACTATACTCACCACTGTCGTCAATCCTAGGGCACATTTTTTAACATCTATGAAATCAGGATGAGTCTTACATCCTGTGGCATCTTAGATTTGATGAATTACAGTAGTAATATGATAACCTTGCTTATTTTGTGCAGATTGAGTCAATGCAACTTCACAGACTAATCATTGCATGTACTAGCTAGTACAGTTGCCAAGTATCCTAGCTAATTACTCAATTTTGAAAAAAAAAACCTGAATATAACACCTATATACAAAAGTGGATAACTTTAAATTTGAAAAGTTTTTAGTGCTACTAGCTGGTTTCATAGTGATATTTACACCAAAAGTTAGTTTTGAAATTTTAAAAATGATTTGAACATCTTAATCGACATAGTCCTTTTTTTAAAAAAACTGAGGTATATTTTTTATAATTGACATATAACAATATATTCGTTTCAGGCATGCAACATAATGATTTGACGTTTGCATATGTTCCGAGATGATCACCACAATAAGCCTACTTAACATCCATCACTACACATAGTTACAAATATTTTTTCTTGTGATGAGAATTTTTTTTTTTTTGCTTTCAATCCTTAGGGATTAATTTTATTTTTGAAGCATTTAAAAATCAATATTAAACTTTCAAGATTAACAGTGGGATAATAAAGTTATGCTTCTCTTTACTGAAAATGAAGAATTGGCACTTTTGAATTCCTCTTGGCAAATCTACTACTCTAATCTTTGTCAGTTTTTTTTATTCTTATGTTAATCCCCATACATTACATCATTAATTTTAGATGAAGTGTTCCATGATTCATTGTTTGTGCATAACACCCAGTGCTCCATGCAGAATGTGCCCTCCTCAATACCCACCACCAGGCTAACCCATCCTCCCACCCCCCGCCCCTCTAGAACCCTGTTTGTTTTTCAGAGTCCATCGTCTCTCATGGTTCGTCTACCCCTCCGATTTCTCCCGCTTCATTCTTCCCCTCCCGCTACCTTCTTCTTCTTCTTTTTTTTTTCCTTAACATATATTGCATTATTTGTTTCAGAGGTACAGATCTGAGATTCAACAGTCTTGCACAATTCACAGCGCTTACCAGAGCACATACCCTCCGTGTCTATCACCCATTCACCCCATCCCTCCCACCCCACCCGCCACTCCAGCAACCCTCAGT